GCTTATGTGTGATGGGCGGTCGGCGGACGACCATTTCCTCTCAATAACTACGTATGTCTCCCTCGCGTAAGCGCGTCCAAGGGCACATGCAGACGTTGAACCCTGCAGCAGACTTGTCGAACGCGCCACACAAGGTCACGCTGTGTTCACGGTCTTCTGCGGGTCCGCTCTGCACTCCCGCTGCACTCGACTGCTAGCGCAAGCCGTGCACAAGAAATCCACAGTCAAACCACAATTCCCTTCGAAATCCTACTTCTTATTCCTGCGGGGCAGGCGGTGCGGTGCGGCGCTTTCAACGTAGATTTTTATTGTGTTACCACGATGAGGCCTCGCTCTAAGTCCACTCATTCCACCCCCCCCCCCCCCAATGGTAACCCAACCACCCTAACCGATTCTACCTGCGATGTGTTCGGTATGTTTTAGGCATGGTTTAGTATTCACCGCGTTTCTAGACTGAGGAGAGTCGTGTCCAAAAATGCTTTAGCCTGAGTCCTTTTTACTTGCTTAGAAAGGACAGTAGTATCGCAAGTCTTAGAGACCATGTGGGTCGCTCCCCTGTGTACCGATCGTATTTTCTGCTACTTTTCTCACCTAAAACGTATGATCCCGTCAACTGGAAGAATTATCCATCGCTCCAATAGTTACCTCTGGCGCTCTGTTTTCGACTAGGTATGACAGTCATAGGTATCTTTGACACCAAAGTGGAACTAGTAGATAAAAGACGTTTTGAGGGTAACGAGGAGAACTCGCCTGCGGCACGCTACAATCTGAGATGCCAGGGCGGTGTCTTTGTGCAGTAGTGCCGTGTGAGATAACGCACGTTGTAGACTTAAGGTCCTGTTAGTAACAAAAAGTTGTACTTTCCTCCGGTCTTTTGGGGACAGGTCAAATCATTCAGACCTATGAAAGTCAAATTTAAAGTTTTAAGGTCCGTGTCCCCCTCATTACTCGGGTCCACCGATTGTCCGGACAATATGGGGGCCTCATTCTGGAACGTTAGTTTTCGGTTTGTGTTGAGGTAGCCACTACCTATCACAGTGTACAGGAGGAGTCACAGGACGAGAGTTCACGCACGAATGACGGCGGCTCCGAAGTGTTAGTATGAGATGAACCTATCTAATATCTATTCTCGTCTTTCGACACACTCGTGGCGGTCTAAACCCTCTACACCCACATTGGCATCTGGTGACCTAGATCAGCCGGGGTAGAAATGGTCGAGTTTGCTACGCCGGTGTCCTTCTTGTGAACAATCATCCACCCGTTACCACATCGAATTTAGCACCTAGAAGAAAGGTTTTACGCTACTATCCCCGTTGCGACTTACGGGGGACTTTAACTTTAGTTAGTCGCCTTCTGCGCCTTTCGCAATACGTTCCCCATGGCTTACTTTGCCAGCGTTATTATGTTCTTAATAGGTAAGTGTACGGGTAGTACATAAACAACGTCCTTTCGTCTAATGTAACCTCGAATTAACTTTATAATCAAATGGAAGTAAACTTAATAAATTACCCCAAACTGATCTAAGTATGGAGTCTCTATCTTGTGTAATACACTACGTTCTTACAACACACATAAACCTCAAAAGAAGTATAAAAGCGGAGGTCCCTCAGTGGCAGCCATGATAAGTGCCGTTCGAATTCTCTGGCCGTTTCTCAATCGCGAGGATACTGGCTTGGTAGTCGCATACTTCCAAGTCACTTCCTTCAGAAACGAAGCAAGTATATTTCCAAGCCACGGCTTCGGAAAACAAAGAAGAATGGAACAGGCTAACAAGTGTGCCACTCTCTCTAACGGTTTCAGCATAAACTGTACCGAAAATAAATACCTCACGATGTCTATCTAATTATGAACTTGCTTTACTTTCACGGAACACATTTTTGGTGATAACACATGCAACAAAGTAACATATTTACCAACACAGGTTCTACGCCACTACATAGTTACATTTAAATGTGTGCTGTGCTGCGTCGGTTCAGCCATTCTCCGCAAGGGTTTTTGAAATTGGTCCGTGCGCAAAGCATTGTGGGGATTTTAAGGACGTGAAGTCTACCCATGTGCATCCTCGAAATTACCCCCAAACCAAGGACGCGGCCTTGGTGGAATTCCAAGTATGCTGGAGATTGGAACAGTCCTTCGGCGGCACTCGATGACGTAGTATCCTTGAAATATTGGCTTGGAAGCAAGTTTCCTCGCGATTGAGAAACGGCCAGAAAGTCGCGACGTAAAACTGACACAAAACAACAACAAACTTTTGCCGAGCCAATTGGAGAGTTTCATCAGCAGCACAGGGTAAAAACCACCAATGAGCGCTCAGCTCGAGATACCAGCGAGTCGTTTCCCATCAAGCATTTCGCTTCCGCAGCCCGTGGAGAGGAACTGCGCCGCCTCGCCGCGCCTGCGGGCTTCTTTGTCACGCGAGATTTCAACGCCTCATGTAGGCGAGCCTCCAGAGCAAGTCGGACAAAATGACTAACCATCATGCAACGCACTAGCAAGACGTTGATCGCAACTGCGCAGGTCTCGCTTGTCTCAAACAAGCCTAGTGAGAGTGACACACATCTTATAGGCCCACAGCATGTTATGTACACAGGATCTACTTAGTTGGCCTATCCAAATGTTCTCATCATGTGCAACTCCAATGTAGGTAAATAGTGATCATTTTAAAATTAAACACAGCATATTTATATGATGCTACAAAAACTTATAACCCAAATATAATTTAATACATTTTTGTGTGCTAGTTCGCTAGATTTGTTGCTGCTCAGTACACTGAAAAACTGAAATGTTGACTTAAATTAAATGTATCATGTCAACAAATCTCACAAAACTGTATTAGGTTAGTTGAAAGCAATAATATTAAGTTGGACCTCATATATTTTATTTAAACGTAATACTATTGCTTTTAACTAACCTTATACAATTATGTGAAATCTGTTTCCATAATACATTTAAATAAAGTCACAGTTCAGTTTTTCAGTAGACGGCATACAGGTTGGCATATTCTTCCATAATGCCATAAAGAATAAAAACACAATTTCATTTTAGCCTCTATATAATTTAAGTCAAGTAATTATTTATATACAGGTCACAGTAACAGTCAAAAAAAAATGTTTGTGAGTGAAACCACAGCTGGAGCTCGTCAGCTACCACACCTGGAGTCAATCACAGCTCGTAAGCGGCTCTACACATCCTGAGCTGCAGAGAGTCTTAAAGTCGTTTCAAGAGAAGTTGAAGCTGTTCAAACTCTGCTCTCCTCGCCACAAGGCCCCTACTCTACCCCTTATGAGTTATTTGTTTCCATAGTTAACTCCATTCATGAGGCTTCTTTGTACTTTAATTATCATCATATTGTGTTGCCCAGCTGATCACATCACAGACCTGAATCAATTAGTGACTCCACAGCAATATGTTCAGAATACTGCTCATGAACATTCACTGAATTCAAATCTTCCTGGTCTATAACTTAAGTGTACACATTTCCTATTTTTTTGAAGCTCTCCCTTGGTTATTAGCTTTTTATCTGACATTCTCTTCTGACTTGCAAGTAGAACAAAATACAGCATCTACTTGTAAAAAATCCCTTATATCCTAATTAAGATATCCTAAACCCCAAAAATCCTCACTGGTAATTGTAATGCAATAATTGAAATACAATTATAAGTAATATATTATGCACTGTATAATCGCACATCAGCCTTAATCCACTCACGTTTGGATGGTTCAACGGATGGCTTTGACTCCTCTTCTTTCTTTTTCGGGGCTGTCTCCTCTTCCTCTGTCTGTTTGCTCGGTGCTTGGGTTCCTTCCTCGTCTTCACTCCCAGCCAGGTAGTTCCAAGGCTTCCAGATCGACTTCACGATCTTTGAGATCACCTGAAATAACGTAGATGCACAGAAACTTAGCTGGCTCAGTTTTGAGGCTCGAAAAAGACATGCCCAGAACAAATGACTATATCTTCACTTCTAAAAGGGGTAAATTAATAATATTTTTTCTCAAAGCAATGATACACCTGTGAGTTGGATGTAGAAGAGTCAGAATCAATATAGATGTTTTTATTTTTATAAAGTAAATTCAGATTGAACATAGTCAAAACATGTAAATTATAGTTTCTGTCCAAAAGCCTCCATTACTTATAGTGAAAATCACCCTTGAATGATGGGATAATAGACCAAAAGCTTTTGGAATCCAAACTATATAATAAGTACCCTGTATCAAGATTGATGCAAAACAAGTGAAATTTGACCTTTTTGGAGGTTTAAAACCGGAAGCTCATACACTCTTGTAGCTCTCATAGCAGCTGTATATGAAAACTCCGGTTATTAACATAAATGTTATGTTATGATGGATTATCAGTAATAATTTCAAAGTGACACAGACACATTGGATTAATCTTCAGCAGCGTTTATATGCGTTGTGATGCCCTTGAACACAACTTGTGATCAGAAAACAGCAAAGGTAAGAAGTATTTGTCGTTTTGGCTACGTAAAGTGAAGTTGTGTGTTGTCTTTGCTGGCTTTCGCTGCCGCGGGTTTTGGGTGTGATGATACTTATACCATTGGAATCTGTGGAATCTCAGCTTTCAAACGCTATCTAGTTTGTGCAGATCAGATGAAGTATACAATATTTCTACCGTGAGTTATGTGCTAAGTGCGTTAGCACTCTTTCGCTTACTGCTTATTCAGAGGCTCTGCGTTAGACTTGTGTTTTGTTTTCGGTAAAAATAGTTAATATCGTCAGGTAGCTGAGTTTTTTCCCGTTAGGTGGGTATGACACATTCATAGTTTGTGAAATGTTAAGAAGCCCTCAGACGCTGTTTCTTGCAAGATGTTGCGGGAGCCCCCGCCCCCCGGGGGAGGTTAAAATCTTTGACTAGGGCTAAAACTAAGAATTACTTTTATCACCGCTTCATCTGCTGATTATTTTCTAGACTAATCGATGAATTGGGAATAGAAATGAAACAATACTAAAGTCCAATGTGATGATTTAAAATGTCTTTGTCTGTCCAAATATATTTAGAAAAGTATTATATAGGCTACAACTGAGAAAAGAGCGTAATCTTCGTACTTTGAGAGCATGAAAACAGCATTTTTCTGTCATGTACTTAAAGGATGAATCAGTAATCAAAATAGTTAGTGATTATTTTCCTGTCGATTGATGGATCGTAATAATTGCAGCTTTAGCTCAAACCAACCTTCTTGTCAGCCACAGTAGGGTGGACTGGTGGTCGGAGGAACTGGTCTGATTCGGGTCCGGGCTCCAGTGGCTCTCCCCAGTCTGAGAGGATCTGTCCTGGGATCAGCTGGAGCGTTACAAAGGACCCTGAAGACTCTGCAGACCAGGGGTCTGAGGCTGAAGAAACAACAGAAAGAGGTGTTACAACAGATCCAACTGTATAAGTGATCAATACAAATAATGAATTAATAAATTAGAAATCAGCCCTACAGGCATCAGTGCTGTGAAGCGAGGCCTCGTCTTCAAGGTCGACCAATCCCGTCCAGTTTGAAGGCGAAGCGCTGCTGCCATCTGAGGACACAGCAAGGATGCATTTGCAAAAAAATCAATCTTACTGTATTTATGTTTACTGATTTGATGTTTGGTCCTGTAAATAATCAGCTTCATTATGCTACTACTGATATTTTAGACAGATGTGAAACCTCTGGCAGTGGTGGTTTGCGGTGTAGTCACGTCCGGGCTGCCGGTCCCTGCAGAGCCAGCATCACTGGAGTCTGTGAGGTAGCTCCAGGGCTTCCACAGGGAGGTGTAGATCTGAGAGATGGAGCCCGAATCCTTCATTTTACCTGGGAAACAAGTTTAAGAGATTTCTTGTTCACATGGCTGTCACTGAAGGATTTGAACCAGCTTGTCTCAAAGCTTTGCTGTATATTAATTTTGCAGTCAAGACAGAAACCGCACATCTGAAAATATTTAACTTCAACACATCCTGTTCTTGTTTCTCGCTCTCCCACTGCTGCTGTCAATCAAGCAGATTCACAGACTTGACAGTGGGATGGATAATGTGGATCCAAAATCATTGTTGCCATGGCTACACCAGTGGCAGTGACATATATTGTAATTGAACAATAGCTACATTAACAGCACTCTTCCACAGATTTGCTTTTGGCCAGTAGCTAACTTTTCAAACCCATCAGTAACGATTGAATTACACTCCTTTTCCATGATTAAGAATATTATGCAGGTGCAGATTCAGTGTCTGATTCATTACCTCTGTAGCAGTAAGCATCATACAGCGCTGTGGTGTTGTCAGTTGTGCTGTTGGGTGTGATGGTGCGGACCCCCAGCTGGCCCCCCCCACAGTCCAGGCGACGCCAGGTCACAGGGTAGCGCACGCTGCCGTCAGACAGCCAGCCTGGGGCGCAGCTGTCCAAGCCGGCCCTCCACGCCAGATAGAGCTGCCCCACGGTTGCCAGCTGCCCCCCCAGGGACACACAGCGGTCTGAGGCGGAGGACAGGGACAGCCTGCCTGGGACCGAGGAGTGGAACACTTCACCTGGAGGACGGAGACAAGGGAACTTGCAGTGAAACACCTGGGTTCTGCACAGGCTTCGAAATCTACTGAATTACTTAAAAGCTTAGGCTATTGTATTCTAATTTTTCTCAACAAATCCCATGTAAAGGCCAAAACCAATAATGTTTTTCCCTTGCCTGTATGACGCACACGTCCCACAGCCCATTGGTTGCTATTGAAGATGTAAATATTTAAAGGTCCCATGTCATGGCCATTTCTACTGATCATAATTCCATTGTTGAGGTCTACTAAAATAGATTTATATTTTGCAATTTTCCAAAATCGGCATTGTTTTCCATACAGCATTCTGTATACGTTGTGTAGTTCACTGCTACTGTCCTAAACGTGGCTTGTTGGAAGCTCCTTTCCCCCCACGCGCCCCCCTGTTCACTAGTGAGTCCAGTTGCAAGTCTGCGAGAACCAGGCGAAACGCCATTCCGAAACACACACACCAGGCGCCACAGAGCCTGGCTGGAGTTTGTGTGTGTGGCATTCACATGCACCCCGTGACTCACAGGCCTCTGCCCGCGCCGCCGTCTTCAGGAGGAGAGATTGGCGGGGCTGGGCAGCTGAGAAAAATTGAGGTTGTGTGTTGTGAGAAGTTCCGCGGATTGGCCCTTTGGGAGTGGGCCACGTTCACTGTACGGCTCAGGAAGAAACAATGGAAGAAGAGAAATCTCCCACACGAGGCGTTCTGGGGCAGCACGAACGGTATTTCTGTTAGAGGTTTTACTCGCTAGCAGGGGGTGTCTTTGAGGGTTTGGGTGACTTGCAGACCGTTTACCATGCATAAAAAGCTAACATAAAGCATACAAGGGACAGTAATAACGGTACAAAGCATGACATGGGACAATTTAACAATAAACGCACAGAGGTTTAGTTTGAACTATTTATTAGTTAATAATTATTCTTTTTGGTGTTCACCTAATTTATTTAAATTATTATTAAAAAATAATATGGAAAAGAACTGAATATTGGCAAAATGCAACCCATGCGACAGTTTTATGTGTGTGGTGTGTTGGTGTGTGTGTGTGTGTGTGTGTGTGTGCTGTTTGGCTTGTCACGCAGACTGCAAAGACCTTAAATCAGGCGCAAGTTTGGGTCAAAATGTGATTGATGAGCAACAAAACAATACACCCACTGTAAGTCCGTTCCCGCTCGCTATAAAGCCCCTGCACTAACCGCCAGCCGATGCTCTTAACCATCCGTCTGATAGGCAGTTAATAAGACCCGACCTTCGCTGATGGCAGCCTGAGCTCAAATGGCTGGAAAATGAAATGCTGTGTGAACAAAAGCCTCTGCTAAAATGAAAAGGCATTGACTACAAACGGCACATGGCCTCTAAAAGTGCTCTCACAGATGCATGTATTGTTTAATTCTATTACATTACACCTAGTAAATACAAATGTGGATACAGGACATTATCCGCGCCCCCTTTGTGATGCCCTACTAAAACATCCACTTAACTGGGCCTGAGATAGAAGATCCTAAGTGGATCAAGGCCATTTCCTTGTAACTCTTAATTTTATGGAAGATGGGNAATATGAAGACAAAATTAAATCTGTCCTCCACTCTGTGACATCACACACTCTAAAATCTGAAGAAGGCCTCTTTACCAAGGTCTGAACAATGTTTAATATCTCTAAAAGTAAGAATCAGATTTAAAAGTTGTGTTACACGAATAATGTCAGAAAGATGTGTAACATTTTAAAGTTGGAATGAGGTGAAAGTATGAAGGAACAGTTAGCAGTTGAAGTTGCATGAAGATTGTTCAAGTCTGAAGAGTTTCTCCATTGACTTCAATGTTAAAAATGTGATTAATTATGGGATGTATCTCTGGAATTATGAAGGTTATGAATGAGAAAAGTAATAGCCATCGATTCCCGACCGAGCTGAACGCTTTGATGTTCGAACAGAGTTTCTGCGATGTGGAATGTGGGAGAAGAAGAGGTGCAAAATAACCCGGCGGAATAATAAAGAATTTTGTGCGTAGCATAACAGATAGTGGAAATGCTGTATCAGCATTCCAACTAAATAATCATTAAGTGTTGTGTAATGCATCATCTGAATTTGTTGGTTGCAATCATGTTTGGTCTCGGAGGACAGACTAAAAAGCTGCTGGCCAAATGAGTATGACGTTTGTTGTGGTTCCAAGAGGATGAACCATGATGACTGTGATCTCTCTCCCCATGGACTACAATATCTAGTTGTCATCACTTACAAAACAAAAAATTGAAAAGCTTCACACCTGGAAGCCTGACATGACGTTTGATCACATTACGGAATGGTTGATGGTGCACACTGGTGATACACACTGCACAGACAGAATATTCCCGTGCACATGCAGAGGTTGATGTAACATCCCGCTCATGTTATTTATAGCTGCCAAGACGGAGATGATTGCTCTCTTTCTCTCTCACGGAAAACAAATATTCCGCACCTCATTTCTTTCCATTTTTTCTCTTCTTGCTTCAGGAACTATTTTTTCATTTTCATTTTTAGAGCTAGATCTCATCTGACTATTGGCACATCGGTCCCTGGGCCGGCTTTCAGTTTGAATTGGAATTCTCAAAATCATCCCTTACAGCAACCGTCAGAAATTCTGTCTGGGCAGCATCCCTCTGGAAAACTGTACAGACTTCTGTGACCCCTGCAGATGGTCAGCCATTATTACGATTCATTATTTCTTCTACCTGCTGCTTCTGATATGCAGCTCACAGTCTGGCAGGTGGATTTAGCTTGCAGGGTCCCAAGAACACACACTAAATTGTAGAATTAGAAAGAGATGCATCACTAAGTGGAAACAGTCTATCCAGTCTCTTCTCCTAGTTTCATCATGTGCAGGTAAAAAAACAGTTTCCTCCTTTTCAATAAGTAATTTTATTTCCATTCATTCCCTAATCTGGACCCCTGCTGAAGCCTTTAAATATAGTTTTTTAGATAATTAAAAGTCAATGATATGTAATGTCATGGTTACAAATGCAGCACAAGACAGGAAATCCTTTGACTGATGCAATTTTAACTTTTAGCAGCGTGAAGTTGCAATCAAAATCAGGACTGAAATCAAAAAGAAAAAACAACTGCTTTTTTTAAAGACCTCACACATGCTCTTGTGTGCAGAGCGTTCAAACGTTTCGCACCTCAAAGATTTGAAAGCCCCCTTTAGGGCAGGATGTTACACAACAAACACGTGTTAGTCTGCTGGAGCCCTTCAGCACCACGGACAGCGCACTTCCCTAAAGCAGAGGCTCACACACAGGAAGCAGTTAGTGGGTGACACAAAGCTGAGACCCCAGAATCCCTCAGGGAGTGTTTCCGCCGCCTGTCAACAGTAACCAGACAGGGGGGTCACCAGGGGGTCCACTTTAACGTCAACTTGCTATTTTTTTTCTTTATTTTTTATTGCTATCAGTTATTTGAACACAATGCAAGGAGGCATTTCACCCAGTGAAACTATAGCAACCTGGGCTATGGCCTACTTTCCACTGGCTCCACATACAGTAGCTAATGGGCGTATGGTTATGTGTGGGATTTTGAATCCATTTCATGTCAAGAGATCCCAAGTGATCTAAAGGTCAGTGGTGAGGTCCTCCAGTTAAATGTATTGTAATTGACTGTGAACCCTGTATGCATGCCTTGTGCAGGTTCAAGTAGTGCTGAATTGATGTAATGAAAACCAACCCAAACAAATGAAATTATAATGTGTGCACATTTTTAAACTGTGAAATATCCAGAATTTGCAAAGTTGGAATTTGAATAGTGGACGATTATACAAAATAACATCTACTGTCTGTAGCTTGGATCCATTCCAGTGATTTACTTGTAGAAATGTCCACATCCATTTTATTTCTTGTTAAGTAATTTCACAAATTGCTGCACATTTTCTCTGCTGTGCTCAACATTTGGAATTGGATTTTTCATGTAGATCATGGCAGTATACAAAGTTTTGAAATGCCATGAAATAAATTAAATATGCCACATTCAAATAAATAAAACATTGTAATGATGAATATTGTGTGTGTTTGGTTAACTCCCTGGAAGTGGGGGGTTTGGCACTTCATGACCTTAGTGGCCAATCTGGTACATTAACTTTACCGTAGCAGTCCAAATCCAACAAAACAGTCTGCCTGCCAATGTCTCATAGATGTAGTTCATGTTGGAAAAAATATTCTTAAGTCAAATTAAATGGAGTTTTTATTTTGTTCTCAAACAATGTTATGAAATATGATTAACACAAATAAATGTTAACACCTGGTAAACTGGAAGCGGGACTCTTTTAAATTGTTGATAGGATTTTTTTAAGGTCACCTATTATGCAAAATCCACTTTTTCATGTCTTTTATACATCAACATGTGTCCCCTCTGTTTAAAGAGATTCTGAAAGTTTCAGGAACAAAGATTCTCTCTTTTTTTGTTCTGATCCATTTATATTGTGATGTCACGAGAGGGTGCATCATAGAGGGCAGGTACATTCCCTCTTGGTGGATGCAACAGAGACCACAACTCCCGGAATCAGCAGGGCATTAGGGAAGATGGCTGCTGCCCAGCTGAAGAGTGTTGACTGGCTGCTCCTGTGAGCATAAAGGGGAGCTGATCAGATTTTGACCACTTTGTGATGTCATAACGTTTTTTGGCTTGTGTAACCATTAGCCAATCACCAACCAAGGTAACCACCCCCCCCCACCTTATTATAACCAGTACAAAGAGAGTGAACGACTTTGTGAAGTCATTTTTGCATTAGTCCGAAGTGTGTGGTGACAATCCGACCTCTCAAATTGCTTCTCCCCGGAAGCACCAGTGTGGGTCGGGGGGTGACGTAAATAATGTGGGTTTAATGAAATCGTCTAGTGTGCCGTACCACGTGTGCTATCCGTTATGTTCTTGGCACCTGCAAACGTAACAGGTCTAAGGATTGAGAAAGTTCTCAATATTTTGTTGTGTAGTCTAATATCGCGCTGTTTACATTTGGTTAAGCCGTCCTA